TGGAGCTGAGTGTTGGGAATTTATCCATCACACTGACTGGACTGCTGCCTGTGCAGACTTGCTTTATCTGTTCAGGGAAACGCATTCAAAGCTTAAAAGAAACAAGCAGGTTGTTACAGTAGGTGAATAAATAGTTCCTGCAGATGCAAATTTAAAAGTTGTTTTTAGCACACAGAAAGTCAGGAAATGTTGGATTATTTTCCAGGAGTTCCCGTATGAATCGAGGCAGTGTGGAGTTCACTTTACAGTTTATGGAGCTCAGTCTGATAACAGCAAAGCTATAACATGTGAATGTCAACAGTTATAGTTTTACAACTTAAATAAAATGCAGCATAGTTTACAAAAAAATACAATTGTAAATAGTCGAAGCTGGAAATAATTAATACTTATCTGTCAGGAAGAACAAAAAATCAGCTCTGACATTTAATAAATCTTCGTTTTGAATTAATGTTTTTCTCCTTAAGATCCTGTGTGGCAGGGAGATCCCCCGCTGGGTCAACCGCCTGGCCTACTTCAGCTCCTGCGTGCCGTTCCTTCAGAGCTGCCTGCCCAAAGAGTGGCTAACGCCAGCTGCCTTACAGTCCAGCGTGAGCCAGGAGCTTCATGGTGGAGGCGGGGAGCTGGAGGAGGCAGAGGATGCTGTGGCCACAGCCTCCCTGGCCTCCATGTCACCCTGCTCACCTTCATCGTCCTCCAGCCCTTCTTCCTCTTTGCCTCGACATAATCACCCCCAACCACGCCGGTAGAGGCAGTTAGTGCTGCTGGGAAACCTGGGACGTTGCTTCTTGTTCAAAAGACGGTTATTTACCAGAGAACCTGCAGCAGCTGATGAGTTCAGCTGCAGCCAAAAGTCCTGCCTGACTGTGGAGTCGGGCACTGAAGGAGTGGGAACGTCAGCCAAATCTCTGCAACGGTTCAGAGCTGTCAAAAGAGTTGTTCCTTGCAAAAGAAGAGCTCTTAATTCTTAAACCAACACACACAAAAATAACTGTTCCTGTTTATTTTTTCCTACCGATGTTGGTTCACATCTCGTTAAAGGTAAAAAACACAAGTCTGGATGGGTTTAAAGCATGTGATCTGACTGGGCAGATGTAATACAAGCATATTTTAAACTCGGGGAGAAAAAAATCAGTGTTATATTTTTCAGACTGAAATGTTGAAGCTTTGAAATCCCCCCCGGAGTTGTTTAATTGTTTTCAAACAGTTTCATCAGAAAGGTGCTGATTAGGATGAACATTATCAGACTGCCTGCAGGAACTGACCGCTGTATCCTTAACAACATGAAGTCTGAACATCTTCTGAAAAAGAAGGTTTTGTATTTGTAGGCCCTTGTAGGCAGGAAGTCGAAGTCTTCACTTCCTGTCAGGTGCGTCAGCCAAGCGAACCCTGACCAGATAAAAACGTACCCAGGCTCAAACGCTTGCCGTCACTGTTGATGACTACGATCTGTGTGCCAGTACGATCCAGTCTGTGTCCTCTGCAGCCAGCTGCTTGTAAAACGTAAAAGTAGCTTTAAAGTTCTAAACTAGGATCTTAGCCTTTCAGTGCTTATCACAGTGTGACCATGTTAGACTAGAGGTGCAATCGAGCTGATCCAGACGGAGCCATTGCCAAGAAGACGCCTGAAGATTCGGGTAATCATGGTTGTTCAGTTTTTAATAGTTTAAAGTGAAAGTGGATTCATCTTCCATCTTGAAATAACCAAATATTATGTTACCAAACTGACACGGATAACACTTCAACAGACAAATTTATCAAATATGAAGCAACTAATAGTTTTTTATTAAATTAATTTAGGAGTGAGTTTGTAGAGCAGGCAGTGGTGTACAGGATGGACTCTTTATCTCAGTAGCAGCTGCCATTGTGCCTTTGAGCCAGGTACTTTCTTATACAACCTATAAAAGACTAGTTGTAGTGGGCAGCTCTCACTAGTTTTTGTAATGCAACCCTTCATGAATAGCTCCTTTAACTGACCTGAGATCAGCCTGCATCAGTTTCATTTCCCCAGTCAGGAACGACACGCGTCAAAAACACCGTGTGTTGGAAGTGTTTTGCAATATTATACTGTAGGGTTATTGAGTTCATGCAGGAAAAACTAACAAAATCATCTTTTACCTAGACACATCTCTTCTTATAAAAATAATTTTACACTTTTAAAAGGAAAAGACGCTGCTTTTCCTGAACGTTGAGCCCTTCTTGTGAAACTCTGGTCATGCTGCAGAATGTGTTCTCCTCGAAACCGAGATCTGTCCATGTGTTTAAAAACTTTTTAATAAGGAACGACTGACGGTCAAATCAGACAAATCTTGTCTTTTTTTTTTATTTAAATAGGATTTCTAAAGGAGAAAGAACTGGAAGTGGAAGAGATGATGTTGAGGTTCTCCTTAGGAGTGACAAGGCTGGATAAGATTAGGAATGAGACCATCAGAGGGACAGCACAGGTTGAACAACTGGGAGATAAAGTTAGAGACCAGACTGAGATGGTTTGGACAAGTCCAGAGGAGGGACAGTGGGTATACTGGTAGGATGTTAGAAATGCAGCTGCCAGGAGAAAGACTGAGGCATGCAGTTAAAGAAGACATGGACGTAGATGGAGTGAGGACAGAGGATGCAGAGGACAGAGAGATGGAGGATGACTCGCTGTGGAGACCACCTGAAGAGGGAAAAGCTGGAAGAAGAAAGACTTTTGCCTTTTTTAATCTGTTTTGTTTATTTTTGATAAACTCAGGACTCTGAAAGGCTTAGAAAATTCTGCAGACTTTTTATCACATGTATGTTGCTTGTTCTGATGCAGTGGTTGTTTTGTAGTGCTTTGAAACAACACAGTTTTATACCCATGTCTTTGCTTTAAAAAAAAAAAAAAAAGTTATTGTTTATAATCTTTTTTTTTTTTTGTGCGAGTCTGTGCTGCCTTTTATTTTCACCTTTATAAACATGTGAGAGTGTATTTAAATGGTTTATTAAAAACATGCTATCAAATGTCTTTATATTTTATGCATAAAAACTCATACCTCCTGATAAATGTTGCACAGTTTGGAATAAGTTTCTAAATATCAATTCATTTTTCAGAGGCTATTTTTTAAACATGTTTTGCTCTATTTGCACACACAGGTAATTTAAATTACTTTAAGATGTTGTGTGTTTGTAATAAATAAACAAAAGTAGTTACAGGAAGCAAAGAGATTTCTCCTGAAACCAGCATCTGGCTTGGAGTGAGTTTAACATCAACTTCATGTGACATGGGGCAGATAGAAAACAAAAGTAGCACTTTGTCGCCCTCTGCTGGCCATTACCTGTACTGTTACTGAGGTTTCCTG